CTGGAGATAACCAGTTCACAAATTATCACAGGTGACTTTAAGTCTACATTTTTATAAAAAACAACACAGACTATTTTAATATTAATTTCTCTACTTTAATAATGTGGATGACCTATCTATTAAGCTTAAAGATCTCCAGCAAACTCCATATGTATATTAAATAAAAAAATTACATAGAATGCAAAACAAATTAAAAAAACATTTTCCAAACTGAGTTTTTATACGGCCACATTGCACTATTTTAGAGCTGCAAGGGGAAACAGAATTGTATCCACATACTAAAAGTATATTTCTACAGTACTGTATCTAGTCATGTGGTCCACAAATGCCAACAACAAGGGACTGAAAATAGGATCAATTCTTTTCTTTCTCAGAAACAATCTTGTAAGCATCCGAGTTCCCGAAGACATAAAAGAATAGTTACTTTTCTGAAATCTTTTGATATTGCTCTTCATGGTGGAGCTATCCACAAGTGATGGGAAAGATCTCTTTTGAAAGTAAATGGTGCTCCTTCAAATGTGTTCAGAAACATCTTTGCTCTTCCTTTCTCTGTTTCTCAAGTTTAACTTGAAAAGGATGCTTGATTTTTTAAAATTTGGTTTAGGTATCACAATGGGATACCTAATATCAGTCGGTGCTTGCAAACCTTATTCTTCCAGCATAGAATCTAGCTGTTTCTTTCTCTGTGTCAACACAGGAGGCTGAAGTAATCAGACAGGTCTAAAGAACACAGAGGATGTTAACCTGCACTTTCTCAGAATCCATGATGAGTAGGTTCATACTTTCAACATGACCACACTGAGCCATAAGGCATATAAATAGCTACTTTCACCTAAAAGCACAGCTACCACAGCAGTTTGTACAGTAGGGCTATGAGTTCATAATATTTTAAATGTCAATATTGATACTATTGTTATAGATTAATAATCTATGCATATCATTTTATCATTCCCATCCACTCTCTGCCATTATTCAGTAATATAAAGTAATTTTTGGCTCTTCCCCTCATCATGTCTCCAGCAGACAAGCACACAAAATCAGTTGTACTCTCTAGGAATATCTTTGCAACACTACAGTTTTAAGTTTTATTAAGTGATAATTCAAGCTCACAGTATAAATTCTTTTTTATTAATGACTTGCTTATATGCTAGAATGGACAAGACAAAAAGAAAAAAACATCTCAGATGAAAATAGAGATGTTATTTCCAACATACTAAAAGAGAAACGGCTGTTATTCTAAATCAGGTAAAAAAAACCCCAAAACATCTTAAACGAAAACATAAAGATAAATTCCTGCCTCAAACCCCTGTGACCCACCAGGTTCAGCCCTTTCTCCCATCTCCTCTCAATATTCATTTACAAATTCCCTTAAGATTAGTAGGAGTTACACAAACATGCCTTCATGTGTCCCTTAAGCATTTTATCACACTGAAGAAGGGAAACAAAAAGTTCAATTGTGACCTGTATCAGAAAATCATTCATTCAGATCCTGCTCAATTAGATGTGAGACCGCTATCTTAGTTCATGAAGTTTGACCACAGTATGCTCTTACTGCTAAAGTATTAATGCAAATAAGATACACATTACTCAAATAAATTTATCATCACCAATCTATAACCAGCGTGACACATGCATATATTCTAAAATATCACACAAAATAAACTGTGGCATACATCTTCATACATTGAGCAATTCATCTGCAGAAGGTGAGCCACATGTTTTAACAAAGAGTACAGAACAGATTAAAAGTAGAACACAGAAGGGTTAAAAACAGACAACAGAAAGTCTGGGTAATACATGATTTCAAGGACTCTGGAACAAAAATGTACTTACATCACCAAAATTTGTAATCACATCAAAATAATCTCAGCATTTTGTCCACATACCTTTCAGGGTATTTGAAATTTAACTAGCAATATGCTAGCTGTAGCTACACTATAAAAGAACTGAGAAAAGACTTTCTCAGTTACAGTTAAATAATGACTGGCAATTGCTATTTCAGTATTTCATGGCATATCAGACTACACACTTAACAGACTATTATAGAAAAAAAAATTTTAAAAATCAGCCAGTGGCATGACAGTCATCTGTACCTACATTATTTTTAATTACATCCAAGATACATGAAACTTTTTCCTCTCTGCAGAAAAATGGTTTAAAGAACAAAGTTTTAGTCCATTATTCAAATAATGTATGCCTGTTCTTTCTATTGTACAAATACAATAGCTTTTGTAGTAAGGAGTGTTGCTTATATGATTAAAGAGATAGTTGAGTGTTATGATATGTTTGACAGGTACCGTTCGAAACACTATCGGAACAGACACACAATACTGTTATTAACATTCTGTGTGTGCCGATACCTCATAGCAACAGAGCTCAGCAAAACGAAAGCAGAGACTCCACATATTCATCACTGCAGACATCTCCACATGCCCCTAATCAGTGGTGCTTTATGCAGATTACACTTTTTTGTATTCACCCCATTCTTAAACCGACCTGTCAAAGCCCGAGCTCTCCCCCAGTTTCTCAAGATTTTGGTAACCAAGACTGACCAGCTATTTTTCTTTCCATTTTTCCCTCACTTGTCACACAGCAGGGCCAACCCCAACAGGTATTTAGAAGTAACAGTAGTGAAGTCCATTTGTGCATAGTAGATTGCTGCAAATACAAATTATCTTCCAAGAAATATAATAAATATATGCATTCTCTTTAACATGCCCATCGAGGGGATGGCAGATACAATATTAAAGGTCTGAAAAACTTAGGTTTCCTTTGACCTCCATTACACTTCCAGTGTAGGATTCTCTGCTCCTTGAAGGGTAAGACTGTATTTGTCAAACCTGCAGCAACATCTGGCAAGTGGTTGTCTCTGTTCTTCTCTATTAGCTACCATTCTTTAAAGGAATACAATTTCATCAGTTTAAGGGAGATCTGTTGTTTTGATTGAGAGATTTCTTTTTTTTTCTTTTTTTTTTTTAAGAAAAAATAAAAATTGAATGATCTTAAGGAATTTTCTTTATACTCGCATTTCTCACACACTCTATAAAAATATCATTGACAAAAGGTGAAAAGGTCGCATACCTCACCGAAATGGAGCCAAGTACTCCCGTAAGGTTTTTCACCTGGAAAATATCCCTGTAACTAATTCTACGTATTTGATTTTTTTAATTATTGTTTTAGCAACAACAACAAAAAAAAACCTCTGGGCCTTTTCCCAGCTGAGAGTTCCCTGAAGTCATCTTTCCCATAAGGAAGATAAGTTTTCACTTAGAGGATAGCATCTCTAGCAGCAAGATTTTAATACTCTGCAACAATATCAGGGATACGCAATCCTGAATTTACGGCTCTTCAAATTGCTTTTATAGCTATACTATTCATTTTGGATCAGATGTTTATCTAAAATTCCATACATCCATAATATCTAATTTAAAACAGCTTCCAATGAGTCAAAGCATAGTACTGGAAAAAAAAAAAAAAGGCAAGCCACCACAACAAAACAAAAACAAACAAACAAACAAAAGCCACCATGGTCCAGATTCTGAGAACTGTAAATTATTTTATCTTTTTAAAGCTAAATATTTTTTTCACTAGCCCAGTAGGTACAATTCCACTTCAAACTTCATTTTTTTCACCTCCATAGTACTGCTTCTCATCTGTTCTGTTAGTAACACATGAGAATTTCTAATCAGCTTATTCCAAATTATTTTTACAGTTATTTTTATGTCTTATCAATAACTGAGAAGGGAAAAAAGTGCTGATTTATCATTAATCAAGCTTTATGGACATACAATATTCCTCAATACTTCAGAAATGTCTGCAGAACAATTTCCTCCAATCATAAGATCAATGAATCAATGTAAAACCCCAGTAATTAAATTTATCAACTTGGTATCAATACATCCAGCACTTTATGAAAGTATTGTGTGAAGTTTTTTCTGTTAACGGATATATTGATTGGGGGCAAAGAGCCAAATATTTCTATTATTAGATCTGGGGATGCAAGATCAAAACTCAGTCTGTCATAAACAACATACAAATGTTTCATATAGACAGGTCTCTTGCTGATTTTGTACCATTAAACCCACTCCTAACAAGCAGATAAGCCTATTAATTGATGATTAGGACTACAGAAGGATCAGTCATCATATTCAATGCTTCTTGTATGCATTCAATGAATAACCTTATTGACAGGAACCATACAGAATAATTCTCCTCTAAGAAATAGGTTTTTAAAAGAAACTGAGCATCTAAACAATAGCAGATTCCAAACCTTGTTCATTCGGCATAAAATAGCTTTATTAAATTTTGAAACTAAATCTTTGTATTTTGAAAGAGATTCTGTCTCCATTGTCTATAGCAATTATTAATAGAGAGATGAAAAATAAAGCCCAAAGATGACACATCTCATAAGAGCCATAACAGAAACAAAACCAAGAAAACAAAAACACCATCCAAGTGTTATAGAGTTCAATTTTTAAAGGGCTAATATACAAACTATTCTGGAATATATTTTTAGTTGCTATCCCTTACTACATACACATAAGCAAGTAGGGCACAAAAGTTCATCAAGTGCCATTTTTCAATTATAAGAAATAAAAATAGTAGGGCATTTTGTATCAAGAAAATAAACCACAAAAAATGTTTGACTATGCTTAACTATAAAAAAGCTTAAAGAACAGCTAATGACATAAGACCAGTCATTTTTCCCATGAACTGTATGATGAAAATATCAATAACAATACAATCGTAATATTTCTAAAATGCTGCTACAATAAGCAAACATTCCTGTACTTGCACAATGTTGCAATACATAAAAACAATTTGAGCTAATAGTGAAGGTATCTTAATATGACAGGAGGAAATAACAACAAAACCTCCAAACCCACCACATTCATGTAGGAGTCACATCCTGTTACAAACATCAAACAACAATGAGCCTTTATTACCATGCTATGATTCCTTCATTTCAAACATGATTAATTAGCAACTATAACACTCACCAAAACTCCCACCACGCTGCTGTTTGCTGCCTATTTTCAAATGGGTCTCTATCAAGTATTCATAAGCAGTGTTAGTCTCATTTACGACACTGAAGAAAAGAAGTCAAAGCATCTTGCTTTAAGGAAGATTTCACTCATAACCTAGCCAAAAAAAAAAAAAAAAAAAAAAGCACAGAAAAGAAAACAGAAACCCAACAACCAAACACCAAACCCTTGTTTCTTCAAAGGGATTCCTTTATAATCCAAACACAAACTTTATGCAAAATGAAAAACTTTTTAGTGAAGTTGTTAAACAATTTAGATGGTTGAAAATAGAGAAAGGTAAACCACCAATTTGAGGCTTTCTTTTGGTCTTTTTTTTTTTTACTTGAAATATTAACTTTGCATTCAATTTGAAATACACTGCTCCTGTTGAGAATGAAAGCATGGTTCATGTGCTAAAAATGGATAATAGAAAAAAGAGAATCAGAAGGGGAAGAGACATTTAGCAGTACTCTTAACATGTTTTAAGCTGTGCTAACAGATACCTTCAAATGTACCTTACTTGCAATAAATATTACTTTGGCAGTAAAAGAAACTTTGCTTCACAGGGATGAGAGGTGGAAACTGAGATTACAAATAGAAGAAGAAACAAGACTGAGAGGAGAGGAAAAGAATTGCCTTCTCAAGCAGAACTCTATAAATACCATCAGAAAGACAACAAAAAAAGGTTCCATTTGGAAGCAACAGATGTATTCCTAAGCAAGAAAATATCCCCGACGAAATAATGCAGAGAGTCATACAGACAGGATCTTTAGAAGCCTGAAAAGAAATTGCCAGTGTGGCAAAGCTAAAGTTCCCATGTGAAAATAAAAACAAGGTAGAAGATCCGATACCTCCTTAGTTTACCAACTCTTATATCAGAGATACTTGATGATTTTGTCACGTCCAGAGCAAAGCAATTTTTAAGCACAAATCAGTCCTACTCTCTCCAGCTTTCTCAATTTTATAAATTTGGCATCAAAAACATCAAAGCAGCTTCCACTTCGGACCGAACTTTTAGAGGATCAATGTGACAAGTCACTGCTTGATAGATGTTTCTCTTGATAAACGACTTGTTCAAAAGAGACATTGTAGCTTTCATTTCCTGACCACAACACACTTTTAATTTGCAACAGCAGAGCTGCTCGAGTGTGACTAGTTCCCACTTCCCAGTCTTTCAGGACTGTGGCACTGTCAGGCCACATGCACGGGCAAAACAAAAACTCAAAAAGAGATGAATTTGCAGAAAGAATTTTAGCAAAACTTTTCCTCACACAGGAACCTGATTATATTTGATTTCTCCCAACAGTGGGCTCTTAAACACCCCCTTCCCAAACACCCTCCATCCTTAGTATTTTAAGGGAAGCAAGGAAAGAGAGAAGTCATATTGAAAATATATACTTAAGCACCATAGAATATATATAGCTGCCTAATAGTATCATGTTTATTATACATACATATATCACTGCTACTATAATTATTATTATTATCTGGGAATTGCATTTAACAGTCCAAACCGTCCACACCATCCAATTTCAGCTCTCAGCATACTGTCCGATTCCCGATTTAAAATTTATAAATGTAATATCCTCCTCATCACAAGCAGCAGTCCAATCTGCTCTGAATATATATTACAGCTTTAACATCACAGAGGGAAATCTCCCATCTGGCAATCACATTTGCTCCAACAGCTCTAGGAAAAAAAAAAAAAAATGTTCCGCTCTCGCTTGCTTGCTCTTCTCCTTAAAACATTTCTCAGAGCAAATTATGTGCATCTAAAATAAACAGTTGCCTTATTGATTGTTCCAAAGTCAACAAGTTCTAAATGCAAAATGCAATCAGATCATTTCCATCACATAGCACCTGGGATATGTTTAGCAATACAGTCACCTACAACACCAAAATAGGAGTGTACATTGTGCAACTGTCTCTCAATTTCTTTCTTGCATTCAGATATGTTATTACGAGAGCTCATCAGCCACACACGGCAGACCTCCCCCTTATCCCAAATACACACATGCACACACACACATGCACACTCTCTCTCTCTCCCCTAGGGTCTCTCTCCATCCTTATTTGTTACTATCACACACAATTAAAAGTGAACATAAAAGTGAACCCCTTTTTGGCTGCACAAAACAGACTAATAATCACTTTTGTTGTTACTTCCTTAGCCTTAACTGCATACCTAGAGGTGCATCTACTGCACACAAGGAGCTCTATTGAAATTCCCCATGCTCCATTTTATCTGACTTTTTTGGAGGAAGGGGCAACGTGGGGGTCTGGAGAGTGACCATTAAAATAAAACCAGTTTCAGCACCTGATTATTTCATTTTGTTAAGCATTGAGAGCAGAGCAGTGTGAACCAGACACTTGTAAACTGAGCATAAAATACTCCTTATTAAATTGTATTAAGCATTTGGCCACAACAGTAATTTTGTTTGTTTACATGCAAAACATTCCCTCACCCCACATCAGTTAAAATCTCTAGCAGCTGATTACGCAGAAAGTAAGAGAGGGAAAAGCAGCTGGAGTTTAAATAACTACTAAAAAAATCCTAGTTTGCAAAAGGAAAAGATGCATTTTAGGCATGTATGTATGAGCACACAGATGTGTAGGTGTATATATTCATTGCTACACGTTTTTGCCCTCTCCACTCGCCGAGTTTTACTAATTTACATACCATTGGAGTTCAGTGGTGTGTATAGTGCACTGCTGGTAACATGCAACTTCAGGTTTCACAACTGAGATCAATACAATGGACAAAACTAATGCCATAATTGAAGCAGAAATGATAAACAAATGATAGCAAGAGAAAAAAACGCCTATATATACACGAGAAAATATACTATTAAACATTAAGTATTTATTACAAAATATTTGCATGCAGAGTCCTCAGTGCGTTATCATGCTATTTAAATTTGTCTTTGCTATTTAGATGCAAAGGAAGTAGATCCCAAAACGGACATACCATAAACACTGGTGCTACTGATCATTTCTTGCTGGCAGCACAAAAAGCTGAATTGGATTTTTCACAAGCAGGAATTCCAAAGGTTGCTTTTCATTAAAGCCACTTTTCCTCTCAGCTATCAAATGTCACTGCCTTGAAACGTGGGCCCTTTCGTCAGGTATTCATTTAACCTACATGCATATAATTAAGTGGGAAAGCAACATCAACAAAAAGGGGATCTCAGATCACAAGAGAAGAAAGAAAGGGGGGAAAAAAAGCACATGACCAGGAATGCAAGTCCATGTCAATTTCACTCACTCCCATTGAAACTAACAAGAGCTCCAGGGAGGATAGTAATAGGATCAGTGGATTGTATATACCATTAAATTATACATCTTTCTCTCCCTCCTGAGCCAACAATACGCCCACCACGCTGTACCCCCTCCAAGATGATGTGCTTACATTTTACTGCAACAGCTCCTCTGACATATTCGTGCCCCCCCCTCAGCCAAGACACAGCAATTTAAACCTAACTTTTGTTCTGCGAGATTCTTATTTGCACTTATTTAGTCAGAAGTTAGTTGCCTCAATGTCCAGACCCGCGTTACCTGCAGTTTATTATTTTCAAAGCAACTTAAAAATAAATCCAATTAAGAGGAGGAGGAGGTGGGGAGGGAGCTTGCAATCGCGAACTCTTAATCTGCCTACTATTGTTGGCAATGATCAAGGAGGAAAAACCATGCACTGCGATTGTATATCTGTACTTTCCAGACTACGATCAGGCAAGCAGACCGGAGTGCTTAGTATCAGAAAAAGACCGCAAAATAGGCAAAATATTTAGGGCACGAACAGGCAATTAATACGCGTCTGTGTCGGAGATCTTTAAGATTTAAAAAAATGTAAAACGATGGTAGGGAGACTGGGGGGGTGGGGGGGGGGGTGGGAAGAAAAAAAAAAGATTCTCTTACCTGGAGATTTGGTACAAGAACCCGATAGGTTAGAGTAGCATCGATCCGATGTGTTTGCTGATGAATGGGGGCTCGGGTTAAGTGAAGGTGCCTATGATTTGAAATCATTCCAAGTTTTTGAAGGGAAGACTGACTGCAGCCTCTGCCATGTTGGAATTTCAAACCCAAAACAGCTGCTTTGCAAGGAGCCAGCATGCCAGCAGCTGGACGCCTGCGCAGAGCGCCGCCGAGCCAAATTCAAATCACTTTCACGCGAAGAGCCAAAGATCAGTTTTCAAAGGGGGAGCGGCGCGGGGGGCGGGGGCGCTCCGCGGTCCTGCGCGCCGGGGCCGCCGCTTCCCGCGGGGGCTGGCGGGGTGTCCGTGCCGCGGCTCCGCTCCCTCCCCGGGGCCGCGGGACGGGGGCAGCGCGCAGCGCGCTCCCTGCGCGGCGGCAGCGGCAGCGGGGCTCCCCTCGGGCGCGGCTCCCCTCGGGCGCGGCGGCGCGGGGCCGGGGCCGGGGCCTAGCGGCACCCGCGCCCGCGGGGCAGGCGGGCGGGCTCCGGCGGCGGAGCTTCCCCCGGCTGCGGCCACCTCCGCTTCGCCGCGGCCGCCCCGCGTCTCCGCGCCTGGGGCCGGTGGGGCGTCCCGGCTCGACCGGCAGCGGCCTGCGCGGCTGCCCCGGCCGGCAGCTCCTGCGCCGCGTCCCCGGGCGGGCGGGCGGCGTCGGGGCTCGCGGGTCGCCGCCGCCTCCCGCCCGAGGAAAATGGCCGGGGTGGAAGTGCCGTCCCGGCCCGAGCGGCGGCGGCGGGGCCGCACAGCCGTGCGGGGCCCCGCGCTGCTCCCGGGGAGCTCCGGCCGCTGCCCGCCGGAGCCCGGCTGCTAGCAGCCGCGGAGAGGCGATCCCGGTAGCCGGCAATGGCTGAGGGGCCCCGGCAGCCACACCTCTCTCTCCCCGCACTTCCCAGCCCGGCTCGGCGGGGGATGGCAGGGAGCCAGCTCAGCTACCCCGGCCCACAGCTGCCGGGGACTCCCCTTGCATCAGAGGGATTCCCCGGGGGGGGCTGTTGGACGGGCTTTGCAGCCGCCTGGTGCCGGCAGGGAAGGCGTACGGTGGCCAGGCGGCGGCACGGACCGGGCCCTGCCTCGCACACGGGGCTCCCCGGCACCCGGCTCTCCCCGCTCCAGCCCCGCACACGGCTGCGCGCCCGCTTCCTTGACACCGCGGCTGGGAAAGGGCAGTGGGAGCTTCCCACGAGACACATCCACGTTCTTGGGCTTGCACCTGATGGGACTGTTCAGAGCATTTTTACCTTCTAACAGGGAAGAAGCTGTGCTGTCCGGATGCTGTTCCTGGGCTTTGGTTTAGAGTACTGGAGTGGTTTCACTTCCTCGCTTCCTTGTCCTGCTGTGGAGTTAAGGATGGCTTCGGAGGGTTGTTTGTCTGTCCTGAATATAGAGGAGACTGATTAAATTTTCTTAGTAAAAATGGAAGATATAGAGGCAGTTAAGGCTCTGGAGGAGGAAGGGGAGATCAGACCCAGGGGATTAGCATCTGGAGGAGTGGGAATAGGCTCGTTTCTTGTCTGTTCCCTTTGCAGTAATATAGTAGGCCTAAATAATACTCTGAACTAGTTGCCAGCAGAAGCTGCTGTGAGCTGTCAGCCAGTCCCTATCCTACCCAGGTAATGGAGAGGGAAAAGAAAGAACAGGAAGGCCTGTCTGGTTGATGCATGCAGTGATTTAGTTAATCCAAAATGGTTTTTACCTGCTGGTGAAAATAGGCACCTTTCACACTTTTGGAAGGCTGTAGCCAGCTTGTGTGACAAAACTGTGCCTAAAGATTGGAAATAAAAAGAGCAAAAGGGCTAGACAGACTTCTGCTTATTAAGAATATGGAAGGTGTTCCTGGCTCACTTGGACAGCTGGGGATAACTCTAGTTACTGCTACACGAGGAGAGCACTGCCAGTTAAATAACAAAAGTATCCTGAAACAAGGAGCTGGTTTGGAGCAGATACTGCTTTTGCTTCCCAGTATGTCCCAAGTATAACAAAACATACACAGGAAAACATGGTTAAACTGAATTTTGGGATGTAGAGAGCTATTTTTAGAACTTGCAACATAGCTATAGCAACAGGAGTCTATTGAAATAGCTTTAGACAGCTGTCCAGAGCAGCCAGCAGGCGACACCCAGCCACAGCACCCGCTGTGGTCCAGTCTGCACCGTGCTCTTCTGACACCTTTTCCATGCCCTCAACATCGGGTGGCTCTGAGCAGCGGGCCCGGGGCCTGGGTCAGCCCATTGCCTGTGCACACAGCTGCTCATCGTCCCTTCTACAAGAGCTTGTGGGTATTAAGCAGCCACCTTGGCAAGCAGATAACTGCTCCAAATGCAGGCAACACATCAGTAGCCTCTGGTATTCCCTAATTTGACCCACCTACACAAGTTACATTAGAAGTCTCTGGTGCTGACATCTGCAGCACAGCATATTGCCTCTGCTAGTGTTGCCAGCACCAGGCACTAAGTCATCACAATCCCAGGGTCATGAGCTTGGTCTAAAAATCCTTGTTAAACATAAAAGGGATTCTTTTGTCTTTGCTACTTTAGGTATCTGGATTCTTTTCCCATCATTTTTTTTGCAAATCGTGGTACTATGCACGTTTTCTCTCAACAGAAAGATGAGTTTCTTGGTCAGTTACAGAGCTCTGTGACTTGTACCTGTAGGAAAACAACTGGCAATTACCATAAGGCTTTAGTCGATAAACACAAGTGCTTTTTAAACTTTTTAACTTAGAAAGAAAGTATTTAACAATCTTTGTATTGCATTAACCTCAGTATTTTCATTTTATGTACCATTTTTTTTTCCTTCAGGCTTCTCCTGCCACATTAAAATAGCACAAATTGAAACAATAGACATGTATTTGTATGGGTTGACATTCATCTCTGTGCAGAAGGTCAACATAAGACTTACATACTATATTAAGTTCTTATTTTGAGATGTAAATTAAGATGAAGTGAAGGCCTTTTTGGGCTCATCTCTACATGGATAAATTCCACTCTGGTTAAAGTGACACCAGTGCTGATCCTTCTGAATGGGAAATTCTCATAGACTTTAAAACTGGGAATGTTTCTTGGAGCCTATTTCAACATCTAGGTGAAACGTTTACAATGAAATTCAAAACCACATAAAACTTGCCTGGTTTTGGGTTTTGTTACAAACTCCAAACTTGGACTAGATTCTTTGAAAGGTTCACAGACCTTTTCAGCAAATCTAGATTAATGTCATTTAAGCCAAGCGAATTGTGGAAACAAAACAAAAATCACAGAAAACAAAGAATAAAACCATCTAAGTATGCTCCTATGGGATGTTGATGTCACGCATGTGAACTTTGCAGTCTCTACTTGGTAGGTCTAGTAAAGACTTTTAATTATTATAATAAAAACAACAATGTTCAGCGATATATTCTTTAGTGACTTTAATTATATTGATTTTATTTGTAAATTAAAGCAAGTTTTCAAAATGGCAATGTCTAAGTTCTTCTAATGCTGAAATTTGGCGGCACCTGTATCCCCCTTGTGTGCTGGAAGTACAGACCTCCCTGGAAGTGCAGACCTCCAGGGCAGGGCCTCCTGCCTGTCCCCTCCTTCTGTGCTGGGGAATCCCTCCTAGTCTCCCATCCTCAGACCTCATGTGGGGCAACCACAGCTGTCATTGCATACTAGGATGTGCTGCAATAAACAGGCTGCAAGTGTTCTTTTTTGGAGTTTTGGTCACTGGTGACTATGTATTATTTTATTCCTTTGTGAGGAGCACAATCTGTTTTAAGAGCTCAGGCAACTCAAATCAGATGTTTATACCATCTGGATCCCCACTGAGCAGCCTCTATGTCCCACATCCTGGGACATTTCCAGAATGTGTGTGGCAGGATAGCCCTTCCTGGGCCTCCCCTCTCTCTCTGACTGGAGAGGTCATCATACAGAACTCCAGTCTCTGCAGCTCAAAATTCACTTGCTGCCTTTTCAGACCACAGTCTTGTGTGTCAGCATGAGTTCAATGGATGCCTCAGCTAGCTGGAGCTCAGATTCCAAGAGGTAATGACACCTGTGTAGACCCTAAAGTATTTTTAAATATCGATCAAAAGTAATTGTCTCTTTTTTGCATACTAACAAGTAACATTTAGTTGAACTAATGCCATAAAGAAGTCCCATAGTAAACAATGGGATAATGGTTAAACATAGAGTAATACATTCCAAATATTGTTACACATTACTTCTAGGTTCTTCCCAGGAGATTGCAAAGGATGAAATACCTTCTAGCCACACCACTGATCTGCACAGTTTCACCTCAAACACATCTAAGCCAGGATGTGTAAAGTCTTCCTGGACTCCTTAGCACACAGCCTGCTGATTTAGGTACTGGCTGGTGCCTAATCTAACAAAACATCACTTGATCTCTCAAACTAAAAGCGGGTATGCTTAGATTAGATATTAAGAAGAATTTTTTTACTGTGAAAAAATAGACACTGGAATGGATCACCAGAAAAGCTGTGAATGCCTCATTCCCAGAGGTGTTCAAGGCCATGCTTGGTGAGACTTTGAGTAACCAGTTCTAGTGGGAGGTGTCCCTTCCCATGATAGGGGAATTGGAACTAGAAAAACTTTTATGTCCCTTCCAACCCAAATCACTCTAAGGTTCTATGACTATTGGCCATGTTTAGTGTAATTCCTGACTGTATAAAACAGAAAAAAATTATATTGAGAACATCTGTCCATAGAGGCACTTTTACATTTTAGCTGTGCCAGTGCAAAAATAGATGATTTCTATGACTTGCAACTACTTTGGGTTAGATTCTGGGGTTTTAAAGAGATAGCATCTCCAATATTTTTGTTCTCTTCTTTGTACATTTCCACTTCTGTATTAAACAATCACCTTGATTTCAGTGAGATTTCTGGACAAACCTTTTATTGCTCATTCTCTACAATCTTGCTGAATATTTGATGCTTTTGGCATCATAAAAGTATCAGTCCTCTGAAGTCACTTCTATTTTCCATTTTAGTCCTGGAGGAGAAGTTGTTCACAGTATCCAACAGAAAATATTAATTTAGCAAGTGCTCTGTATGAAAGAACAATATATAGATGTTTGTCACATGAATATCTGAAAAGACATATGCCTTCTGGCATTTTTTGAATTTTGAGTGCTTAATATTTTTTACCCTGGTCATAAATGCATTTTTACTACAATTTGTCCAATTATTTTAAAGCAAGCTTTAATACAGAAAGTCCCTCTTGGGGAACTTTAGGAAGGAAATGAATGTTTTTTTC